GAAGCTGAGCTTTTTCAAATGTGTTTGTTTGGGATTTTAGGAACAGAATTACATTCAAAATCCAAGCACACATGTCTGCAATGGAAATCTTCAGAACTGGCAAATCATGCCAAAACAATCTACTGAAGAGTAATAAAGGGCAGATCATCTAAAGAGGATTTTGCTGAGAAGCTCCTTTTAATCAAGGTTGACTCATGAATTTATCAGTCAGATAAACTACCAGTTATTTTGTTGTATTTTTTTCCCACGATGCTCTAAATGTTTTCAGTTGGTGGACGGTCAGTTCTTGGACTCTTCCATGAACCAAGGCTGTTGTATTAGCTGCAGCAGCTGGTTTAGCATTCTCTTTCTGAAATATGCGAGGCCATCTTTAAAAAGGACAGGATGGGAACAGATGTTGCTCCAGAACCTGCATATACCTTATTCAGCAACAATGGTGCCTTTTTCAGATCTGCATGCTGCAAATACCATAGGCACCAAAACACCTCTGTACTGTCAGACATGCATGGTTTTTGATCTTAGTACTGATAACAACCTGGATGTTCTCTCACCTTTGCTGTCAAGTAGATTTTCCAAAGATAATTTTAAATTTTTATTTTCCAAATTACAGAACAATCTTCTTTTTCACAAAGAAAAGCCGACAGCACCATGCTCTGGATTACTTTTCCCCTGATAGAGCTTTAACCTGTATTTGCAGATGGCACAGTGAAATCACACACAATGATTTTTGGAGATTTCTCTAAATGTTCCTGATCGCACGCAGTTACTTACATGACAGAATCATGCCTCGTTTTAATGCACTGCTTCCCGAGGGTCAGAAGGTCACAGGCATCTAGTACTGTACTGTTTTCCGGCCTTGGCACAGAAATTTCTCCAGATTCTTAGAAACCTTTGATGATATTAGAATCTGTAGATGATAAGATATTGAACATCTTTTCAATTCTGTGCTGAGAAACATTATTCTGAAATTGTCCTGCATTTTGAAAAAGCATTTTATTTTTTTGCAGATTGGTTTACTTCTGCCCATCTTGACTTCTGAGAAACTCTGGCAAAATAAGATGCTCTTTTTATGCTTAATCATGTTATTGACTTGTAGCCAGTTAACCTAATTAACTGCAAAATTATTTCATTTATTTATTATTTTTTGTACCACTTTTCCAGCCTTCTGTTGCAGCTGTCACAGTTTTTTAAAGGTGTGCTTCTGCCATAACTAATATGTTTCATGACGTAGTAAAATGTCCTAGTTTAAACATTTGATATGCTCCACTTTCCATTCACTGCATTCTGTTTTTGATAACATGTTACACAGCGTCCAAACTTTTTTGGGTGGGTTGGGGTTGTTTATTGGTACTTCCATGGTGCCAAAATAAAAATAGAAGCCCTATTCAGGACATGTAGTCACTGTTAACACGCTCATCTGTCAGATGGGAAGTGGTGATGGACCAGAACAAGCAGAGAAAAATGTGGGACACACACATGTGTGTAAAATGTGCCTCCAGCCACCAAATGATTCTCTGTACCAGATACTGTTTTAATCCCAAATAACTGTATCGCTTCTGGTTAACAACATACCTGATCAACATCTGCATGCAGGCCCTGTTAAAAGCATGTCCAAGTGTCTGCCTGGCGTGATGGGTCTGGATATGAAATGCCAAGCAGTCAATAAGGCCTCTGTATATTTTTTTTAGTATATAATGTAATGTTTTGTTTTGGGTCTTTTTTGTTTTTAGCAAAACATAGATGTGCACAAAATCTTGAAATTAGTGGTAATCTTGGTGATGTAAAACTACCAAATATACTACATAATCACAACCACGCAGATATAAACCTGCAAAAATGCTTCAGCTTTAAAAAAGAAAAAGAAAAAAGAAAAAAAAAGCAACCCCCCAAAACTTGGCCTAATTTTCTTAGTTGGTTCGTTTCCTCTCCTGGGTATCTTTGGTGAAGCTAATTTCTGTAAACAGCGCCTTCTGGGTTTTAGCGCGCTGCCTCAGCCGAAAAACACACGTCAACCACTGCAGACCAGCACTGCACGGCGAAAGCAGCAGGCCTATGAGGATCCACAGGAAGCTTGTCAGATACAGACTGCTCACTCTTGATTATCTCAGTGGCAGCTGCAGAGACCCGACGAGATCCGAACGCAAAATGCGCCAATTATCCGCAAGACACGGATGTGCAGTCGTGCGTGTTCCGAGCAATTTGAATTAAATCATAGGTTTTAGAACGCGGTCGCTTATCTGTTGATGATCGTTAGTTAGAAGAACGTGTAGTTGTCTTCTCTTTATATAATCTTTTTTTTTTTGTACCGAGAGTTGGATGCCTCGTGGACGGGGATTATTATTTTGGCGAGGAGATCTCTAAGTGCTCTCCCTCCTCCCTGCATCCGTTGCCGTCCTCAACGGAGACTCAGACGGCGGATATCTGAATGCAGCAACGCTGTAAACAAACAAGGGGCCGTTTTAATGAAATTAAACGCCGCTGCATCCCGGTTGAAGGTACGTGTCCCTCTCGGTTTCCCTCCCCATCCCTCGCCTCACGGCGTGTGATGCCTGTTTGTTTTCCAGCAGAATGGTGCAATGCAACGACTGAACTGCTCATCCACAAATGGGCAAGGGTATTTCAGAAAATGGTGATGATGATTCACACTGTTTTACAATTATATGTTTTAGTTGTGTTTTTTAACGTAGTGCCATTTGTGTCTTTTTATGTGCGCCAGAAAAATAATGTGAGCCAGGGGAAGGGGGGGGTCAATCCTTGTCTTCCATAAAGTGTGAATGCACATGGGTTAGCGTGAGTAACCGTCTGCGGCGTGCTTGTGTACTTGTTTTAAAGAAAGACGCGCACGGTGCAAAGCTGCAGAGGAAAGTTTGTTGTCTTTATTCGTGCGCTTGGGAGATGTGAGCTGGGGAGATGTGAGCTGGGGAGACAGTGGTTTCCGCGGATGTGGTTTGTAGGTTCAAACTGGTTCGGAGGGGGGAAATATATGTGGTTATTTACTCTGGTGGTCTGCAGTAGGTAGCTATGATTATAATAATGCAGTTAATGTATAACAGATAAAACAACGACAGCTAAAATTTCAATAAAACACGAATCAGGTCCGCCAGTTAGAAGATCATTCAATAAGAGAGAGAGTGTTTGAAACTGTGTTGGTGGGGTCGCCCCTTTTTTTTAAATGCAGGATTTTCCATTGTCCTATTTTTATGACTTGAATCATTTCCCTCCGCTTTGTGAATGGATGTTTTTGTGTTTACAAACACTCTGTCTAAAAGCGTTATCTTTCTGCTTCTTTCAGCCTTCAGTTAGCAATGTGCCTGAGAATCCTCCAGCTGCTCTTCCGCGCTTTTTCTTTTGAGAATGGGATTGTAGTGAAACTCTCTGGGATTTAGAACAACTGCAAGCATGTTGCAGCCTTCCACCAGAACAGGTGACAGCCTGTTGGAAACATTACCTCACTGGAGTAAGTCCCAGAGATGGGCCTTATTTCTCGCCCTCTGCGCGACTCTCCTCTGGCTCCCAGAGGCAGCGGGTTCTACGCTAAATTGCCATAAGATGTGCATCTGCGCCGCGAACATCGTCAGCTGCTCCAAAATGAATCTGACCATCGTCCCGACTGGTCTACCTCTCTACACTTCTGTGCTGGATGTCAGCTATAACGAGATAATCCGACTGCAATCTGAGTGGACCCCAGCCAAGCTCCCGAATCTACACAACCTCCTGCTCAGTCACAATGGTCTCCAGTTCCTGTCTTCAGAGGCGTTCACAAACGTGAAGCACCTGCGCTACTTGGACCTGTCCTCTAACGAGTTAAAGCAGCTGGATGAGTTCATCTTTGAGCCTTTGGTCAACCTAGAAGTCCTCCTGCTGTACAATAACAAGATTTCACAGATTGACCGCACAGCCTTCGTGAGCATGATTAACCTTCAGAAGCTGTACCTTAGCCAGAACCAAATCTCCCGCTTCCCTGTGGAGCTGGTCAAAGATAAGACCCGCCTAGAGAAACTCAGCCTCCTGGACGTATCCACCAACAAGATCAAGATTTTGCCCATTGACGAGCTCCAGGTGTTGCCCGCCTGGATTAAAAACGGCCTCTACTTCCACAGTAACCCTCTGCTGTGCCACTGCGACCTTTACACCCTCCTGGTACACTGGTACATGCGAAAGCTCAATTCTGCCGTGGACTTTAAAGACGACTACACTTGTGTTTTACCCGGCCCACAAAAAACCCAAGCACGCGTTTTTGACCTCAGCGGTGATAGTATGAACTGCAGCACATTCAAGGAGGCAGATGAAGAGGCTTTTCTGGAGCAAACACTGATTCTTAGCTGCGACACCAAACACAGAAATATGTTAAAGACCTGGACATTGCCCGGTAATGTTCTGGTGACACCTGGGAGCAACCAGACAGCTAAAGTCCTGTCAGACGGGAGTCTGCAGATTAGTTCAATGAGGTCTGAGGACTCTGGGACCTACACTTGCTTTGCCACGAGTGAGAGCTTTAATGAGACTATCTACGTAGTGCTCAAGGTTCACAATTTCACCATGCAGGGGGCTGGGGAGACCCTGAACACAGCATACACCACCTTGGTAGGTTGCCTGGCCAGTGTGGTGCTGGTGCTTATGTATCTTTACCTGACGCCATGTCGCTGTTTCTGCTGCCCTAACAAGGGTAAAACTCGGGGCGAGGACAGCATCCACTCCTCAATGCTGAGTGTGACACCGACCCACGAGGACCCGGCACTCAAGGCCGAACTGAACAGGCACGTGGCTTTCATAGACTCCAAGGACTTGCAGGGACAAAATGGTAAGCTGAACCCCAATGGGGATGAGGAGGATGATGATGATGATCTGGATGCAGAGGCTGGTTCTCTAATGAAGGGCAAAAGGAAGAAGTCAGTGGCAGAGTCCATCAGCTCCGTGTTTTCAGACACTCCCATGGTGGTCTGAGACGAGACTGGCAAAGACAGTAGATGCCACATGACTGGATGTAGGTGATGCAACGTGAGCCATGTTTTAGTTCGTGTGAACTGTGACCTTGTGGGAGAAAACTGCCGAGAAATGTTCACCTGCGGTCGCTGGCAAGTGAAAGTAGGATTTCAAAGGGAGTAAAAATCAAACTGTCTCATTGTCAAAAAGGACAAGCGGCAGAACTTTTCCAGCATTTTGATCTGTAGCACTTAATATTCATACTGTGAAGGAATATCAGTGTAGACGGAAAGGGAAAACTAAGAGTCTTACGAGAGCGAAACGTAGATGTTCAGTCGTTGACGTCAGCACTCAGGAAGTGATCAATAAAACTGAAAAAGTTGGGAAAATAAAAGGCATAGACGGAAATTAGATGTAAGAAGAATTTTAGTTCACAAATAGTATATATACTGAATCCATGGGTAGCTCATAATTATATTTATTATTAAGGATTAGAGTAGCTTGTATTGTAAGTAAACATTAGAGCACAGATTCATGTACCTCTCCTCTATCAAGGAGAAAGAGATTTAGACTGACTGACGTCACTAGGCTATGAATACATTTGACCTTAACCTTGAGTCCTCTATAGTAAAACAGCGCGCCATAAAACAATGTTATCCGAGATCCCAGCCTGAACTGGATGAGTAAGATAAAGAAAGATACAGATTTTTCAGATGTTTAGTCATTCACTGAGGTAGCACAAACCACCACAGGTCATATTCATCCTACATCGTACTCCAGCAGCTATATGTTAAGGGAATCAGTTTAAAAAACTGCCAACTAACTCCACGCTAATTATTTTTCACAAATGAATTGTTCATCAAAAAAGTTGCTTCTTAGTTGCTGCACAGTATAACCCCAAAGGAACATTTGCAGTCTTACACAATTAAAAGCAGTGAGCACCTCCGACAGATACACATTAGGTGCAGGGAAGTATTTTGTTATGATTTATTATCAACAGATCGTCTGAATTCTGTATACAGAAAGGTGCCACACTCCTTACAAGGATGACAAGGCTTCTGTTTGTTGTCCACCGAGGTGCCACTTGCCGTCAAGTTTGACTCCTCCTCCCGGCCAAGTTACAGCATTAGTTTCTGTCAGCCGCAACATTCAAAAAAAAAAAAAGCTGCAGAGTTTATTTTATTGCATTTTTGCACCTTGCACAAAACCCGGAATAGCACAAATTTCTACCCATACATCTTAAACTTTGTCATAAAGTATTTCATCTTGCATTTTGCTCAGATGGGCAGATCCTCATATCACAGAAAATGTAGCTGTTTGTTATGGTGGTTAGAAAATGATCTAGGTTGTATTAACAGGTAAACACTGAAGGCGAAATAACAATAAAAAGTCTCCTGACTCCACCAGAAAATTAAGCGTATGCGTAACATGAGGCTGTGCATAATTTGACAAGAAAAGGCTCATTTTAGTGCTCGTGGCTGCTGACAGGAAATTTCCTGTTAACACAGGGGACCTGAGATCTTTTGAAAAGATCCCTTTGCAAAACATGAATTAACTGTAAAAGTAATTTCATGTGCAAGACACCTGGTGTGCGGCGCATATTTCATTAACAACTTTTAAACGGGAGACTGTCTCTTAGCAAAAACTAGAAAGATTTCATTAACACGTGCGGTGTTCGCGACATAATACAACAAGGCCAGCCTGGAGTAAATGCTAATTGCTTCCTTTGACGGGATGTAGCGTCCCTCTTCTTTCTGTGTCTTTGTCTCTTTGAGCTGAAGGGGATTGGTGTGTTATCATGAGTCACAGCAACACAAAACCATTCTCCCTGGCTCTCTGTATACCGACAGCCACAATTCAGCCCAGATGTGTTTGCTTTGTTTGTGTACCGCTGTCATTGAAGCTGCCCTTACTTAGTTCAAAAGCAATCGTTCAACTAGGCAATGAATGCAACGCCCTTTAGGTAGTCTGCAGCTCGTTAATGAGCGAAACGCCTGCACCTTTCTTTACACATTTACACTCCAACTTAGTCACACGGGTGAAAAGCACTTTAAGATATGATAATTCATTACGCTTTTGAATTCAGCTTCAAAGAATACCTTCTATTAGAAATGATAGTTATTAATATATCTTGCAGCTAAACACACAAAGACGTACACATTTGTGGGTGCAGTAGGCTTGTACGCAAAATAGGTGGAATAGTCACAGACACTGCGTGCACCACTAAACGTCTCCTGCGTGGGCGAGAAAAGGAAGTCACATTAATCTGAGAGGTGGTGTGTGTGTGAATCATTCCACTCTCTCACACATTGGAATACCAGGTGGAGAAATGAAGAGGACCAAAAAAACCCAAAAAAATCCTACTTAAATAGAGCCACATTTAGCATTACTGCAGTCTGGTTCCATTTGGCCAAGATGCTCACATTTCACAGAATCCCATTTTGAGCTTTTAACCTGTTCCCCACTCAGACTACTCACCTTTTTGAGCCCCAGACAAAAGCTGAGAAGCTAAAAATGCAAACAATACACAGATATTGCCGCTATTGAGCACGCTAAATTACCAGATCACTGGGAAATGGTGTTGTTTTCCCTGCATGAACCCGATGTCAGTCCAGTTAAATCTGCTGTGGGTAATGGGTGGTCTACTCCTCTGTGTTGTCATTTAAAATACAGGTTGCAATTCTGTATAAATTAGTGTTATTGCAAGGGACCTAAAATAGAAAGAAAGAGTGTCTTTGTTCTCTTCAAAGCAAACCTGCCTTCCTATATATATTAATAACTATATATACAGTATATATACGTAGTGAGACTCACTTTGTGTGTTCAGTATTGCTTAGTTGTGTACTGCTATGTTCTATCAGTGTAATGACTGTATCCTTGTATAATCTGATGATGTTCATTTTGCATTATGTCTGTCACTGTGATCTTGTTAGTTGTTTTAACATTCAAGTCTGGATATGTGTGTTTATTTTTTAAGCCAGGTGGAGTTCAGTTGTTTTTTTTGGGGTGGGGGTTGTTTTGTTTTTTTTTTGTTTTTTTATTGAAAGAGGATGTATTTTACAGTCATCTGGTGATGAATATGGCTAAACGGAGAATATATCTGAACAAACTCTGCATGGGAAAAAGGGGACACTTTTGAAATAACTGCATAATTGCATATGAGACATCCTAATGGGCAGTGAGTATGTAGCCTCCAGTCATATTCAGCCAGTATTTGACTTTGCTAATAAAGCCATAAGCAGCGCAGTGCTTTATCACATTGGTGACATGTCAGATGATGAAGGGAGATGCAAGTAGGTGCGTTTTGCAGCAGCAGTGTTGTAACAAAGCGAGAGCTTTTCTGTACGTACAAATCTTTTCCTGTTTTTTTAAAATAAAAATCAGGAATGATCTCCAAGCACACCAACAAATTCCTGAAATGTAATGGGTTCTCAATGGCTTTAAACATAGCGGGTGAGTAAATCTCAGGACTATGTCATACAATATGAAACTTAGGGATCACATTTTAAAGAGTTCATATTTGTACTATCAATGAGACAAAGTTTGGGTCTCGAGATCTGTGCATGTTACAGGCCCTTTGCTATTTACCCTAATGGTACATTAGACTCACCAATTAGGGAAGAGAGTGATCTCTCGCTGCCCAGCACACATCTCCACTCATCTAGCTATGAAGTAGCAGTTAAGGGAACATTCATGATTTGCTGAGGCTAAAAGCTTGGTGCTTTAAAAGAGTGCTGCTAGTCTCCAAAGGACACGAAGGAAGCTTTTAACAGCATACAAAGCACTAAGTTTATTGACCACTGCTTCAAAGATGATACGATTGGTCACTGCCCTAAGAAATGAAAGGTCTCGCAGCTAAAGTTGAATGGCTTTGCATGGTATGCTTAGGAGCTTCTCTGACTTCATAAGAATAAACCAGTAGGCGTTAAAGACAAAAAATACTGATATATCTTTTGACTTAATAAAAGATTCAAATTTACACTCTTTGTTGCCTCTGATTTCACTTTTATCAGAAATTATTGTTTAATGAAACTTGTTCTTCGCATACACATCTTAGTAGGTGTTGCATTATATAAAGAGTATGGAGCAATGTTCTCAGATTTAGCACCAGTTTGGATATGAAATGAATACATCTA